TCTATCATTCTATCTATTTGTGTACCTATCTCTCTCTCTCTCTCTCTCTCTCTCCCTCTCTCTCTCTCTCTCTCTCTCTCTAACTATCTCTCTTACACGCGCGCGTGTGTGTGCGTTTTGTAATTATTCTTTTCTGTATCATTTCTCTTTGCAATTACCACATTTAATAAAGTTTCTAGTTCCTAGTAGAAGAATTGGAGATGTTAATATGTTTTATTCTGAATGTCATTGAACTAGGACACTGTTGGTCAATCTGTTTTTATCAGTGGGTTGAAAATTTTGGCAGCTTAGCATTTCTGGGTTGAAAATTTGATACCTTTGAAAATTTTTTTCTTAATGTTGTCATTTGTGACAATAAACAATTTCTGTAGTTTCTATTAAGTTTGTGTAATGTATTGCGTTATGTACCAGATTTACATTTAACTTTGCACTTGGCATATTTTATGCTGCTTATACATTTTATACATATACTATTTGGAAATTTTCCCGAAATGTATGTAATAATAAAGAATATTGGATTTGATCATTTTACTTTATATTTTTGGACTTAAGGACTTCATGAGCATTGATTTGTTATTTGTCATTAGCACCATGTACAAAATGCATGAAAGTTTGGTTTTTAAAAGGATAGTTGGATAAGCTCACTGGTCAAATCAAACCTGTAAATTTTATTAGTTAATTATTAATGCGATAAAATCANGGTGTGGTGTTTGTTATCACTTCCAAAGCTAGGGTTGGTGTAGTGGGAAAAGCTCCCGTCATCATCATACAACCTAGTCTTTGGAATGACCTTAGCTTGTTAAAAATCAATACATACTATTGGGGGGAGAGGGAAGGACTTATGAGTATAATTGGTTTGAATGATGTTACACACGTACATTATGTAAATTCTAAGTACCTCTTTACTGTCACTCGTGTTTTACAAAAGTTAAATGATATTGGAACAATAGTACCGGTGCGATGACCACTGACATCCTGTCCCGTTTTATGTTCCTTGACTTCTGATTTTCCAGTGTGGCTGATCACGTATTCAAGCCGGTGCGGTCGGCATTCTGTCATTGTCACCGCTGACAAACTCGGAATTTATTCGGTTCCGAATATGTGGATAACTTCCATGATACTATTTTATACAACACAAAGATAATTCTTTTCCGTTTATAATAGTAATTGCTTCGCTTCCGACCTCCTTCCTGTGAGACCCGTGGTATTCAACCTTGTATGTAGAACAGAGTACGGACAATAGAATGTCTAGATATGCAAAATTGCCTTTTTTTTCTTTTCTTAACAGCTGGCAGATAGCTATTTATGTCACGGGCACATCGAAGATACCTAAATTGTTTTTAAGCTAACAGTGTCATTTTGCACAGATTTTTTTTTTTAATAATTCAGAAAAGATCTTTGATTTTGAATAAAAGGCGAATTAGTCAAGCTAAAATTGAATTTAAAAAAATTACGCCGAACTCGATATTTAAGAGAAATGCAAAACCACCTATCACATATGACAACCGGTGGATATCAACTGACACGCTTGAAATACGAAAATTGACAAAAGGAAGTAATAAAATTCTTCTAACCACTAAGGGACATAGTACTTAAAACAACTTAATACGTTAAAAAGACGGTAATTACCAAAGAAACAAGTAATTAATTGGAAGTATTAATAAGAGACCACAACAAATAATAAGATACAGCAATGCGGGTGCTATAAAAGTGTTTTATGATTAGTGTGGACTACCCTCGGAATTTATGGACTTTTTATCACTTATTTAGCTGCTTTTTTATTTCTTTTATTTGAATAAGCTTCATTTAAATAAAAATTAAAACAGCAGAGACAAATTTAGAGTATCAAATAGTAGAGCAAACGAAAAAGTTCTTTTCACGTCCATAAATTTATTGTTCTGTTTAGACGTTCTCGTCTTTCTTTCTTACTTTCTTTTGCTTTTATGGTGACTTAAAAAATGCGAAAGTTTGTCTTATTTTATCCAAAAAAAACTTTTAAAAAGAAACTAAAGTAACTATACATTTACAACATTGGAATCTTCTGCAGGTACAAAGTGCCCACTCTTGATTTTTGACCAATTTGGCTATCACATCCTTTGGAAATAATTAACCATCGAAACAGAGTATTACAATTCGTGAAATCCGTAAAGAATTTATTTTATATGGGGACTGGTTAATACCACATAATGGTCGAGCAGTAGTTATGCCTGTAATTTGCTTGTTTCCAATTATTTTGTCTGCCACTAGCTCAGTTAATCTGTCAGACGCGTTTCGGAATTTAGCCATGTGTTGGATCTGTCTCCTTCCTATGGTAACTATGAGTACCTAGTACCATTTGCAGTAACTATGTTGACTCTTAATAATAAGTAGCTGTGAGAAATGTTTGATGCCACTAAATGGTTTAGCAGTAGCTATGCTGCTGCATCCAACTAATCATTTACTATGAGAAATATATAATCATATACTAGTTTAACAGTAAGTATGAATAGTAAGTGAGAAATGTTTGATAGCTAATAATGGTTTAGCACTTACGTTGTTTCCTTCAGTAGGTATAAGAAATATTTGATGCCGCATAACCACATAAAGGTTTGGCAGTTAGTAGCTAAGAGAAATGATTTTTAAGACATGGTTTAGTAGTAGTTATATTTTACAACCAGTTTTATATACATGATGTGTCATATATATGATACGTAATTTTATATCTCATAATGGTTTACAAGTAACTAAGCTGATTCCTAATAATCATTAAAGGTTGAAAAGGAGTTGTCGGTCTCAATAGTAGTCCTCAGTTTCGTCTACTATGCAATCTCCTTTATTATTTAGAGTTCATCATTAAGAGGGCTTTTTACCAGATTCCCAAGTTTTATTAAGGACTACCGTAATATCCTTCAGGTTTGGGTTTTGCATCTCCCAGGAGTTTCAGCTTTTCTTCTCGGCCTGCAGGCCTTCGCACTAACAATGATATTCTGCTGTTTCTTCTACTTTCTGGCAATATCGACACGGGCTTTTATTCTGTTTCTCGTACTCTCGGCGTATGCCCTTTTTATGGCGAAATGCTGAAACGCTTTGAATAGGCTGGCCAGAATGACCGGATATAATCGACCTACATCAGCAGATGTATTGTAAATTTGAAGAATGAAGCTAATTTCCGTTCAGTAGTTCAACGTATGACATTAATTCTGTAATAGCGCGCTGATTATTGGAGAGGATAGTCGTAGTGTTTATTGAGTGTTGTGTGTTTAGTTCAACGTATGACATTAATTCTGTAATAGCGCGCTGATTATTGGAGAGGATAGTCGTAGTGTTTATTGAGTGTTGTGTGTTTTAGTAATTTTGGGTGAAAGTAAACTCATTGATAAATATTAAAAAGTGTCTTTTGTACGGGCAGTTTTGTAATATCTTCCAAAAGACGGCTCGGTATACTTCTACCAGTCTGGAAATATCTCTGTTTACTGGAGGTTAGCCCACTCTTCACGAATTTCAAGATCGTGGAGTGCATCAGGACAGGTGATGGACGTGCTCTTATTCGTCTTTTGAGGTTATCCCATAAATGTTAGATGGAATTCAAGTCTAGAGAACGGACTGGCCAGGCTAAGACCCTGATGTTATACTGTAGAAGTTATACTGAATGAACGTTTGTACTATGCGAGCGACATGTGGACGGGCATTATCGTGGATTAGAATAGGATTGTCGCTGATTTCATCGAGGATGGGCAAAGCATGATGTTCCAAAATTTCATCCATAAAGCGAGTGACCGTCAAAGATCCTCTACGAACAACAACCAACTCTGTGTGACTCTCCGTTGAAATTCCAACCCACACCATCACTGAGCTACGTTGAAAAGGTTGGCTCTGGGAAAAATTACGGGTTTCGTACCTTTCATTTCGCCTTCTCCACACTCTTTCACGCCCATCTGGAGATCGCAGACCAAATCTACACTCATATGTAAACAGTACAGCAGACCAATCGTTCAAAGACCAATGGCTGTGTTCTTGAGCAAATGCGAGCCGTGCAATTCTGTGTGTTCTGGTCGATTCTGGTCCTCCTACGGAGCGAAAAGCCATCAGTCCTTACTGATTTCATCTTCCTCGAGCAGTGCGTTCAGAAATTTGGACACCTCAAACATCCTGCAGCTTGAATAGTAAGGTGCCCATTTCGCAAAATTCTCAAAGTCAAAAAACGGCTTTACTGTGGTTCTGTTACCTTAGGGCGTCTAGAACCGGGCCTTCTATGGTAGGACCCAGTTTCTCGAAAACGTCTAACGTCGTCTCGCAGAGTTTCGTAGGGAACTCAGATGGCAATAGCCGCCTACCTCATGGAACGTCCATCATCAGTGCCACATTACTCGCAACACCCTCAGTACTACGTGACATTTTTAAGTTTAAAAATTGAAATTAAGAAAACAAAGATGAAAACTAAACAGCTTATTACTTCAAAATTCAAATGAGACTGAATAAACATTTTAAATTCCCTAAAAAATTAAACATTGAAAAAACCTTTATCCTTGTTTTGGATTAAGGATTAAGTGTGTTTACGTCTAATTGATATTCCCAATTTAAAACGTACCATAAACAAATATTTATTGATAAAAACAATGAGACTAATTAAGAGCAGGATTTTCTTTTATGGAGAAAATGAAAAAAAATCAGTTGGGTGGGATTTTTGCCTGTCAAGGTATATATATTTTTTAAATAGTAAATATTGTGGTATTTTGATGGTCAAGTGAGTGTTTGCTAATAACTTTGCATGGAGTTCCATCCAGGGTCGGTCTCGAAAGACGGAAAACTTGAAGATCGCCCGTTGTTTTTGACCCTGCGACGGCGCCATGCCATGGCCGAATACCAACGGGACAGGTTCGAATACCAGATCGACTCCTCAAGAAAATCAGGAGCCGAAGAACAGAAAACGGGACAGAAAGTCAGTGCGATGACTGCGAGTGGAGGGAGCTGGGTGGGGGCTGACACGCGGTGACTCACCTTCCATTCCTTCCTTCGGCTATCACTTCGCCCGGAGTCAGTCTAGTCTAACGTAGCGCGCTAAATAACGGAGTGTGTGATGTGCAGTGGGTGATTTATTTAAAAAAAATACAATTTACAACGAATTTTTAACCCTTTGGCCGAGACGAGTTTAACACCCCCTGACATGGATTACACGGAGGATTTCGGCTGTTGACATTTATTTAAACCAAAAAAGAAACCGCACAAAGGGCCATCTCCCCTTGCAAAAAGGTAAATTCTTTAATGCCAATTTTATGACAGTACATTTTTTATTAGATTATAAAGGGACTGTCGAACCTTGGGTTTCGTCCTGTAAGGAGATCGCCCTAACTCGACCACGACCATCGGTGAAATCGTGGATTTCGCTGATCGCGTCAAATGCAAAAAACGTTTCGCAAGGGAGCACCAAAACAGTTGTTTGTATTATTCGTCCCTGCCAAATCTAAATATAGTGGTGATGCTTCGAGGGGGGGACTCGATTACGTAATCCCCCACTTTTACTCTTTTATAATGTGTGGGCCTAACACGTGTTTTGATACTGCGTTTCATTAAACAAAAAAAAACAAAAAAAAGATTTTAGAGCAGAGCTTCCGGGGTTGGGCCAACCACCCGATGATCCGGAAGGCAACGTTAGGAAGCGCTCGCCTTAAGGTCTCGGAGTGCTTAAGTCCACTCCCCCATACATACCCCACTAAACGTTCCGATTTTGATTACAACAAAAAATAAATACATAAATAGCCTCATTTCGAAAATCCAGGCCGACCTTGCATAACGCAAAATTTTAAAACATTGTAAAAAAAAAAATACGAGTGTCTAATCAGCGTTTGAAAATGAATCAGCCACGAAAGGTTCCTTTTTATCCTTGATAATGGTATTAAAATAAAGAGGCAAAATAGATTAAATAAAGCGGGAGTTGACACGATTTGTTCAAGATATCGTCGGATGGATGGCGCTTCTTCCGGGTCTTCAGGTAGAACAGCCCCCCCACCCCGGAAACCCTAATCGGAAAACGTCTGTTTCCTGAAACGCAACATCGAAATTACAAGCGTCCCACATAAAACAGTTTAGATTGAGATTAAAAACAAATTCATGTACGATTTTTAAACCCCTTGGCCGTACAAAGCGAAGGCGAGCGGTGCCACATTGCCGATTGTCAGGAATCCTATCTGCAAAACGACCAGTGGGAAGAATTTATAACAGTAGAAACCAAAAGCCTAAAACAGCGCAAAAAAATTCATTATTTCAACATGATGGTACTACTAAAGTTCATGCTTTGTAGCGATGTGTATGTATGTGTGTTCGTTGTCTGTCGTCAGAATGAGTGGTGAGGTATGCCTGTCTGTTGAGTAGCTCTCATTTTATCTATCCCTCCCACCCTCCTTCTCACTCTTTCACCCTCTCTTTTCACTCCCTTCCTCATTTTTTCTTCTCTCTCCTCTCTCTTCTCTCTCTCCTCTCTCTCTCTCTTCTCTCTCTTCTCTCTCTCTCTCTTTTCTCTCTCTCTCTCTCTTGTCTCTCTCTCCTCTCTCTCTCTTCTCTCTCTTCTCTCTCTCTCCTCTCTCTTCTCTCTCTCTCCTCTCTCTCTCTTCTCTCTCTCTCTCTTTTCTCTCTCTCTCTCTCTCTCTCTCTCTCTCTCTCTTGTCTCTCTTCTTTCTTTCTCTGCTTCTCTCTCTCTCTCTCTCTCTCTCTCTCTCTCTTTTCTCTCTCTCTCTCTCTCTCTCTCTCTCTCTCTCTCTCTCTCTTGTCTCACTTCTTTCTTTCTCTGCTTCTCTCTCTTTCTGTCTCTCTTCTTTCCTTCTCTGCTTCTCTTTCTCTCTCCCTCGTTCTTTCTCTCTCTTTCTCTCTCTCCCTCTCTCTCTCTCCCTCTCTCTCTCACTCACTCTCTCTCTCTCACTCTCTCTCTCTCTCACTCTCTCTCTCTCTCTCTCTCTCTCTCTCTCTCTCTCTCATTCTGAACTTTATTTCTTGTCCTCTTTTCTCACACATCAGAAACCTCTCACATATCTCATCCTCATTATCTTTTGTTTCTCATTTCGTGTTTATTCATGTTTTTTATGTTTATGTGTATTTAATTTTACTGTGGGTTTTTCAGCTAGAATCAGTAGAAGAATCAAAATAATTCTCTATTTCTCTATTCTATAAGTTCTCTATTATTAGGTTGGCGGAATTTTTAAAATAATAAATGGATAATTGGTTAAAGTTTTGAAAATATATTTTCTACTGATGCTTTCTCGTGTGTATGCATGTTTGCGGTTTATTTTGAAGCAGTGAATTCTTCCTGAATATCAGAAAATAATTTCCTTTCCTTTCCACTTCGAAAAGAAATCATATTTTTAAACCATTTTTATACCAAAGCGAGCAAAACGAAAACAAATAGTTTTTGTTTTCTTTCTGACAATACGATGTTGTTGGCAGCGGCGTTTTCGTCCTTCGAAACCCGAGGAAATAAAAGAACGGATATTCCAAATTGTTTGATAAGGAATAATATTCCCTTGAGAAACGATAGCGTTTCGACGAGATAGAATTATAGATTATAAAACCACGAATGAAGAATAAAAAAAGAACAACATCGCCTTGGAGAGTCAGCTCATCTCAGATAAGAAGGAAGAGTCGAATATAAACTATGAGAAATAAAATTATAAAATATTTTCTAAGTAATGTTTTATTACGGAAATATTTTTAGTAAAAGTTTTTAGAAATAAAAAATTTGAAGGATAGGTGTAATCATTTTAAAAAATTGTAATCCTTGTAATTAAAGTATGAAGTTCAGGCTTTAGTCTGTATTAAATAATTTACTAATTAATTCTGTTGTTTTTCATTTTTAAAAATGCTTGCTTTTTATATTTTTGAGGTCCATCGTATAGAAAAGTTGGATTTTTGAAAGTTAATCCAACAGAATGATTTTCGATAATTTATTTATGGTGAAAACTATTTTTACACGATATCCACTATGCTGGTTTTTCTAATAATTTATTATTCCATCAAGAACTGAAAATAACTCGAGTTTATTAGAGTAAATATAATCGCGTTGAGTGTATTCATGTCGGGTTATATTTATAATTTAATTCAATTTACAGACGTGATGTCCTTATTTTTAGCTATTTTAATTTTTCCTTGATCTTCTCCCAGTGTCTCTTTAACGTAAATATCATTTCAGATAGTGTTTGACGCTTGTTTAATTTTACCGAAACTCATGTCAAGTTGACTTTTGACGCAAAATTGAAAAAGAAAAAATTAAAAAAAGAAACGCAGGTTTAATGGTCATTGTTGGTTGTCCACTGGTAGTCTTCAGATCTTCTTCACGTCAAACCAGATGATAAATCACGCCAACGAGCGTTGACTCCACTCTCCAGAAACATTCGCTCCACCAGCAGAATAAAACAATATGTATGTTACACGACGAACAAGGTCATCCCACCATCTGTGTTTACCTTGATCAATAGTAAACACAATTTGGAAATCTATTTGAGAAATTGATACGTACAATTTTTAACGACATCGGTTTTATTTTTGTACTCCAATTGCTCCGTGTCACTGTTATAAAGATGAAATATCAAAGATGATTTATTTTGTCAAGAATTTAAGGCAAATGGAGGAGGAAGGAAGGTCGCTAAATGGATGATGAATCACTTCGAACGGGTTTCCCTTTCAGGGTCGTCTTGCATATTGTCGATGCATTGGGATCAATCAAATCCCCTCAATATTTGGATAACATTAAACCTTAAAAAGATAAGAAAAACGTTCGTTTATTAAAACGTAATAAAAATGTTTGCCGCCCTGTCAAAACGAGTCGTAAAAACTGCGCTTTTGACGTTTAGTGTGTCCGGTCGTCACGCTGGTTGGTTTTATAATTGGGCTCTTCATCCTTTGAATGTGTTTTTACTATTATTTCGCTATCCGAGCTGTTCCTCTGTCATTATGTGGTTTACTTACGAAAAATGTTTGAAAAAAAATCCGCGTTAAAAAATTGAGATAAGCAGATCTTTCATTCATTGTGGAGATCCGTTGCGATATTCCCAGTGATCCATTTTGAATTCCTCGGACGGTTATTTGAAATCAGTATTTTATATAATAAATAGAGTCAGCAAAACAAGATTTTTACAATTAATAGAAAATATTTAAATTAATTATTGTTTTTACGTAAGGTCTTGGTTGAGATGAAAAAGTTAAGTGTCACGAGCGGGATTCGAACCAACGACCTTCGGGCTCAATACGCCTTTGCTCTAACCACGTGAGCTTGTAGGTTGAGATGGGGAGTTGGTGTCCGAGTGGATCGAAGTCACGATAGTTAAAGTGGTTAGAGCAGCGGCGTATTGAGCCCGAAGGTCGTGGGTTCGAATCCCTCTCGTGACACTAACTTTTTCATTTCAACCGAGACCTTACATAACTAGAAAATATGTGGATAAGATGCTAATTCATAAAATCCAGTTATATAATCTATTCTATTTTCCACGATGACATGTAGTTTAATCTTCTCACTATCTGCTTTTTATAACGTGAAGTTTTGGTTTTTTAGGTTGTGGAATGAACGGCACTGCTGCAAGATGGTGGACGGGGGGTGCAAGCCGCGAGGGACTCCATTTGGCTTTGAACCGAAGCCTTTCTGAACCTGGTCCTCCGAAGAGGTGTAAACTGGAAACAGCCAGCTTACCCGCCAGCCCGTGTATAGAAAGCAAGACCCTGCAGCGGTCGTGGGTGCTCAGCACCCTTGGACGCATAACCCCCGACGTCCTCGCGGATCGGATGTCCAATTCCATGACTCCCATTCTGATCGTCGACGTCCGGCCGTTCATCGCCTACAACGTATCGCACATACGAGGATCCGTTAATGTGAGTTGTTCGGACCGCATTTCGCGAAGAAGGCTGGAACAGGGCAAAGCAACCCTGGCCGACCTCGCGTCCACCGTTATCGGCAAGGAGAAAATGAGGCAGAGAATCCACAAGGAGGTCATCGTTTACGACGAGAGCACCTCCGAAGTCGACAGAATTGCCAATAACCATCCGCTGTTCCTCGTAATCACGAGTCTTGTCCAAGACCAACGGTTTCCAGTCCTCTTACTCGGTAAGTCATCATCATATTTTCACCTATTTGTACGAGAAAAAACACGCGAATTATCTCAAAACATTTCACCTATCTTACGTTATTTTCAAAACCGGTCGACGGAATTTGAAGGAAAATGAATCGTCTCGGAAGCTGTCTAGGAAACGAGCCGAAGACAACGAAACCGGACTGCCTTGAGTTAGCTCCAGCCTTGTTTGGCCTGCACACCCGAATACCTTCCGCATCCCCATTTCTTTGTTAACGTCTTAAACCTTTGCTCTTCAGAAAGGAGATTGATTTACGACTTTTAACGTTTTTCTCTCTTTTTCACGTTCTGTTGCCAAATCCCTTTGGCATCCCAGTGGATGTACATGCAGACGTGCAACATGACATAAACACATTTTAGCCTGATTTATCGTATTTCGCACAATTCTATCTAACATTAAAACATAAACTTTTTAAATAGTTATTATATTTTTTTTAACAGTAGCGTTTAATTTGTATGGTTGTAACATAAATTGTTTCATTGGCCCAAATTTAAGCCTTAAATAAGTATTAAAGTTTCTTAGTTATTTATTTTCATATTCATAAACTATATTTTTAAAGATATTAGATTTTTAAACTAGGTTTTTTTATTGTTCTTTACCTTTTGTGCTATGACTAATTATTTATTTTCCAAGAAAGTTTATTTATTTTTTTATTTTTTTTTTTCGTCGAGACGTATATAAATACTTAGTTCTACTAAAAAAAAAACGATAAAAGTTTACTTAGAGGGGACCATAACTAATAATTATTATGACTAATGAATTTATTTTAAAAATACTGGGATGAGTCAGTTTTTGGCAATAGCCCTGTGTCGAAGGAGGACGCCAGGTGCCTCCTCGGGCCCTGAAAACGTCTTAGGGCGTTTATTTATTGTTTAGACGGATTATTTCTGGAAGTCTACCGGGTGGAAGTGTTTTTATTTCCGACTGGCTGGAAAATTTAGCAGATTTGATCTAAAACGAAAAAGTATTATGTAAAGATTATTGCTTGTCTCGACACCTTCGCGTTTTAATTCAATGGGAACCTGATGATTTATTTTATTTTGGCTTTACACGGGATTTATGTTGTCCGACATAAAACAGAATCAAATCTGTTATTACAAAACGTGTTTTTTTTTTTTTTTTAATCGCTTAAGTTAGCGTAATATCTAGTAGTTAGGGGTGCTTGTAAACCGGGATTTGCCTACTGCAAATTTATGCCCGTCGTATATTTTTTTTGTAACAATTATTACACCAAGAAATTACGATTTATCGGGTGACTTTGGCAATTTTTAAAGCCCCTACTCGTTTTATCGCCTCCGGCTGACTCACCGTCAATAAAAGGAACGACATAAATTATACAGTATGACGTACAAACTTCTCCCAGTTTTCTTACAAACATAGTCTCCGTTTTACATGTTAATTGTTTTTCTTCTATTTTTCTTTTTTGACATACGACCATTATACACGTGGGTTAATTGATTTGGAAAAAAATTATATGTAGATAATCCAATTAATTCAGATAAAGAGTAAAAAAAGGATTTATATGCTTTGTAGTTACGTAACCATTGAAATGGTCTTTTTTGCATATCTAATTCTTAAGCTGTAGGTTTTTTGGACAATTTGTTCTCTATCTTTTTATCTTCCAGATAAATATTGTTTAAAAAAATCGAATTATATGTATCAAGTTTGTCGCAAGCCTACTAATAATCAATACGAGTTCATCGAACTATACTTAGCCAGTTTTTCTTCTGTTTTAACTGAATGTGCGTTTGTTATAAGCTTTTCTCAATGCCAGAAGAGGAATACACCGGAAAATAGGAAAATAAACTCGGATAAGCTTTGTCGAGGGAAAAAATAGGTGACTCAGCGAAACACAATCTGTTTGTCAATTGCTCAAGAACGACATAGTCTAGATTTACGTACGTCAAGGCTTGAAGGTCGTCCTTTTATCTTTGGAAAAATTTAAAATTGTCTAGTCAATACTTACGTACATATTGTAAATAAAATTAAAGTTTGATAATCTTTGTTTATCAATGAGAAAGTGAATTCGAAGATAAATCTTGACACTTAGCCAAAAACGTTATAAAAATCTGCGTATCTTCTGGGTGACCAAGATATCTTTTATCTTCTTGGATGTTTATACATTGTTACCCAATTTGTATAATCGGCAATCAGGAAATAAGGTTTTTTTGAAGGATGCTTTTGATTTTTTTTTTTTTTAGAAATGGGGAATTGTGAGCTGAAAATTGGTCGAATATTTTATGTTAAAAGAACTTTCCCAGGACAATAGATGACTCAGGTTCTCTCACACGATTGTGATGTAAAATAAGGGGCTAAGGGTCATCGATTTATTAAAAAAAAAAAAAAAACAGCCACTACCGACATTTGCTTATTCTTTTAGTTTGCATATACTGATAAATTAGGCAGTGGAGAGAATAGATCCTACACAATGCTCGTGATACACGTCTATACCAGACAAGAACTTTGACCTTAGCAGACAAGTTTTACAGATATTTTAGCTTATAAGTGGAAGATTGTTATTCAGATATCGTGAGATGCGGTCGGATGTGATGTAGGTTTCAGAAAAACATTTTCTTTATCGTGCTCTACACATTTCTACGTTGGAAGATTTTGTCAAGGAAGTCTTTTTTTTTATTTTTGTGAACGGCTGTCGTCAAGATCCAAAATGTTTTGCTTTCATACAAGCCTCGTTTCACCATCAAAACAACATGAAATTCATCTATAACAAAGTAATATTTTAATTATAAAAAAAAAACTTTGTCCTTTTCTTGACCAATCTTTTATCAATGTGTTCAGATTCTTGTAGCAAGGTTTCGCTCGTGTGGGAAGTGGCATGACTCATGGAACAGCTTTCACTCTCTCTTAAGTTGATTCTCATCGAGGTGGCTGAAGACTCGAACATGCCATTCGATTCTATCATGGCTTCTATTAATTACCGGCCTTCCATCATTATCTATTGAGATGATGAATCATTCTTTTTTCCCTTGGGGGAAATTCCTCGATAGTGAAAGACAAATATTTCTCCATGAAGTGCTACAAACTGAATCAGAGTTTATGATAAGAGGGTTATTAAAAAATAAAGGTCAAATATGTCTACTTGTTCGATATCTATTTCGTTTGAGTAGAAAACACTTCTTGCTTTTAATTAATCTATTTTCATTGATTAAATATAATAATGATTTTCATGTGACTCCTATATAGAGAAAAAGGAATCATAAGAGTCAGGGCCAGTGGTGTTTTGGAAATTCATGCTTCAGTGGACTACAGTCCAAAATGCGTGCTACAAATGTCTACTTTGTCGAGATGAATTTCGTTAGAGTAGAAAACACTCTTTTTTTAAATTAACTTCATATTTAATTATTAAAAATCATGATATTTATGTGACTCCAAATAGAGTGAAATTAATTAATAACATAGTACACAAAAACTGACCAAATGGTGTTTTGGAACGGATTACAGTTCAAAATGCGCACTAGAACAGTGGAGATAAATAAGGCTCGAGAATTGATGATGTAAGGCTTTAAAGATGAGAATGAGTCACGCCAGGAACGAAGGAGAGGAACGGCCGGAGACCTTAACCAGCCGACCAAGGACATGGAAACTTTCCTCCGCCTAACTGTTACTTGCAAAAATTCCTTAACTTGTTGACCAATGTTATTTTCTTAAGTAAGATTTTTGAATTTTCTGAGTGTTTATATTGTTGTCGATTAAAAAATCCAAGGCGAAAACCCATTCAGGTACGATTTTGTCAGTTGTTTCTGTAAGTACAACAAAAAATTTGATGCTCGCGTAAAAGTTATACACTTTTTTCTGTTTAAATTTGATTCATATTGAAATTTTGAGTATAAATTACATGAATTGACGGATTTACTAACGGTCGTAGAACGGGAATGGAAAGGAAGTAGTTAGAGGAGTGAAGGTTTCGACACCGATTTTTACAACCGCTATTACCAAAGGAGAAAGTTTTGTTTCTGACCCAAATTTTTTCTTATTCTTTTACATTCAATGTCACGGCTTTTGCGGATTACGACAATCTAAATAATGTTTTGGTAGTAACACGGTGTCCGACAACTTTTCAACTCTGGGGAGAAATTTAAACCTGAAACGAGCAAAGTTATGATGGCCGGGTGGGTTGTGGCTCATAACTTCAAAGTTTTTTTTATAGTTTATTTGTTCAATAAAACTTTAGACATTACAGATGTTCGTTGTAACATAATAGGTCTTAAGTTTGAAGTTCATGAATGTCAATGCTGTTTGTTCTGGTCCTTTTGCCAGAGCTTCAAGGGGAGAAGAGTCGGAAGGCTCCTGGTTGTTGACATCCTCAGATGTTTACCCTCTTCTCGTCCTAAACGTTAGAACTGACTCATCTGTTTGATGAAGAGATAGGGCGGCTCATAAATGATTCACTCGGGATGATCTGCCACCAGCCTCCCTTATTAATTACAAATAAATTCTGTGTCATACCCCTGCTACGGTTGTGTCTGGTCGAAGGGGGATGAAATGACTCATTCACAAACATTCAATTTGGTGTCGAGGGCCATTAGTCAATTTGGGACTCCTCCGTTTAGGGGCAATCAAACTGTTAGACCCCTACTCCCACACCACAATATGTTTCACAAACAATCTTCCACCTCTATATCCTCCTACGTGGTAAATTATATTATCGGTTCTTCACTCTGCCAATGTGGAAAATTACTATTCACCTGCCTGGATTGCTTTTGATGTCCTTCCTGATAGAAATTAAACCGGTCATCATTCATTTGAACACGCATTAAATCAAAGACGTACTGTTGAATGATTCATAAAAGCCCTCCACCACATGTTAAGTAACTACTGTTGATAAATTTGAAGCATGGATAATGCTTATGAACCAACGAAGTTTAAAAACAACTTGCTACTGCCAAAAGCTTTTCTGATTATTAACAATTGTGTTTAAAACTACAAATAGATGTATCAAAATAATGAAGAAGGAAC